AAAAAAAAAAAAAGAAATGTACTCATTATCTTGCCCATGTAATTGTAACCCCTCTGTACAGTATTTTCACAATAAAAAAAGAAATATTATTGTATCATCAAAATTCATTCATTCATTTAAAATTTGGAATCTATTTCTTCATCAACAGTCAAACCTATGCAAATATCTTTCACATGCGAGCTACAAGATCCTAAGTAGTTGTCAGGCAACAATTGTGTTCTATTCTTAAGCTACTTCGTTAGCACAATTAACCATATTTTAACACAAATTATTTCACTGCCTTATTCAATATATAGCATAGCTTCTTAATGTTCTTAGATGAAGAAAAACAATGCTTATTTTGGCATCTCTAATCTCAATAATCTCAACCTTATAGACTCCTGTTGATATAGTTACTTGCTCAATTAATAGGACTTCTTTCTTGCCATAGTAACAAAGAGCAAGTTAGTTAGATTTTTTTCTTTTAATCAACACAATTGTGCTGGTGAAACTTATATAACATGCACATAACTTAAATGAACTATTGAAAAATATTGATGAAATATAATCTTATGTGTTTTATGAATGGTAAACATTTCATCACTACAGAAATTCACCTGTGCTGCTTTTCGATTTGAAAATGGTCAGTTACGTCTCTTGTAGAATTTTTTATAACTGAAATAATCTTGATATCTATTTTTATTTGACTTTTTCACTTAGTATTATACGTTTCACATCCATTTGGAAGTGGTTTAATGAAGAATGTTCAAGTATCTGAATATCTCAAAATAAATTCATTCACATTTAAACATATTTAAACCACTTATTACTGCTACAAACGTTCAAATGAGTTTTTCTAGGTATAAATATTTCCATTTTTCTTAAAGATATAAAATCTGATATGAGTATTATGTTAAATGACTGCTAACTTTTAAAGAAAATAATTTCTCTTACAAAGTGTTTGAACTATTTTATATTCTCACCAACAATGGAGTTTTCCAGAAATGCCTACATTATATGGGTTTGAAACCAATTACTGTTTGCATAAATTGGATTCATAATACAATGATGTTTTCGGAAGGTGTTGAAAAGGAGTTGTGGCCTAATTGGAAGAAGTATGTACCTAGACATGCCCTGGGAAGACATGCCTTACCCCAGGCCCTTTCCTGATTCTCTGCTTCCAGGCTTCCTGAAGTAAGTATCTTTGTTCTGCCAATGGCTCTCTGGAATGAGGCTTTCTTTTACAATGGTACTAGAAACCAAGAAGACAGGTACTCTATGGGACAGATAAATCTTTTTTTTTCTTAAATTATTTAGTTCAGGTACTTTTCGTTAAAGTGTTATAAAACTAATGTCACAACTATTTTCCTGAATTTTGTGACTTGATAATCTTTATATTTTGCATTTCTTTGTGGATGCAGATTTTAATTGCAAAGAAGTCTAGATTATTATTGTTAATATTTGTGCTTTTTGATATATATGAAATCATTGTTCTTTGCCTTTCAAGAATATTTAATTGTGTCTTTTATAAAATAAGTTTTACAGTTGTTGCTTTAATGTTTAAGTCTATAAGCCTATAGAAATTAGAATTCACAAAAGTTAAGGATTTGGTTCATTTTCATCATAAAGATGTTCAGATCGCTTTATCATTTTATAAATAGGTTAAGTATCATTTGATAAAAGCAGGTTATTTTTTTTCATTTTATTAGATTAGTTGTAAAAAGAAGTTAAAATTGTGACATACCCTTATATGCATGACATTCCATTACTCTCCTACCTCCTACTTCCTTCTTTTCCTAAACCAACCACAGTAGGCTGCACTAATTCAATAACAAAGTTTGGCAGGTAGGTATTTTTCCTAGTCTTTCTATTCTGATGTGAAGTCAGTCATCAATCACTAATCAAAAGCCAAACATAATTTCCAAGCCCCTAAAAATTGGTAGACCATAATCTTGTCTCCCCCTAAAGATTCTGATGAGTCTTAGATCCAAGGTTTAATAGGGCATGTAAGTATACACATTTCTTTGGGTTATCATTCTCAGATGAAACACAGACTTTATGTTTTTCAGCTTAATGCTAGAAATGATTGGAAGGTCTCACAAACTTGCTTCCCATTTGTGACTAGAAGCTACTCAATTGCTTTTTTCCTTTCAAAAACTGAACTACACAGAAAAAAACTTTCTGGTGGACTGAGTCAGTTTCTATCCAATTGTACTGGTACTTGCCTCATTTTCACAGATGCCCTGCATATGCACTTGCCCAGCCACTTCCTCACACAGGACTTTTATCTCTGGTGCCCTGACCAGGGCCACTTGCTATATTAACAGAGAAACTGTGGGCCTCCCTGATGCAATTTCTTTGAGATTTAAGCTTTTCACTAATTCACTGACAACTAAAACAGTTGCTGAATAAATATCTACCAGTTTTGTGGAATTGTTTATTGCAGAATTCCAGTATCCAATACACCTGCATAGTTCAGAATGGAAGTTGAGCTGTATGCTTGCATAAAGATAGCTTTCTTCAGGAATTATTTAGAAATGTTTTTAAAAAATTATTTATCATTAAGTAAATAGATTTATTTCAGAAAATCATGTTATGCTGCTATGCTTTGTGGGATGTGAAATGCTATTTTTATAATTAAATCATTATATCTAAATTGAGCAAATGAATGCTCATTTATATTTTGCTAGCATTGCCTTAGAAGACCCATCCATGGAAAATTGTCAATATACATGGTATACATTATATACTTACTCCTTATTTATAATTCTTTTTTTTTTTTTTTTGTCGGTTGTGGGGCCTGAATTCTGGGCCGGGGCGCTATCCCCCAGCTATTCAGCTGTAGATCAACGCTCTACCAGTTGAGCCTAAGCCCCACTTCTGGCTTTTTCTGCTTATGTGGTGCTGAGGAAACAAACCCAGGGCTTCATGCATGCAAGGCAAGCACTCTACCTACCACTGAGCCACCTTCCCAGCGCCCTTAATTATAATTCTAACAATTACATGTTATACTTACTGTTGTATTCTGCAAAAATGTGATTAGTGTATTAACAATGCAGCTCATATTTAATAAGTCTGATATTCAAATGAAGCTCTTCTCTGATGCAACCAGAAAATATGCAAACTATTAAAGAGTACTTTACATGGCAGTGAATGAATAACATAGAGTAACCACATATTTTGATGTTCCATTAAAAATTCTCCATTATTTTAACTAGTTCCATAATTTTAACTCATCAAACCTGATGTCTTTTGACATAAAATCTTAAGGGTTGTTCATTGATTTAATCAAGTGTTTTATCAAGATGGTATCTGGTTGTTTAAAAAAATCAGTTATTACAAACTGAAGGATATTGTTAAAATATTACACAAAAAGAATTTTTGAAACCAATATCTGTATTAAAAGCCACAAAATAACAGAATTACCATCACATACTGAATTAGAAATGCAATTCAATTCCTTTGGAAAATTTACCTTGTTATAAGTATAGCTGCATCAATTGAAGTCAAATCTTCTCTCCAATGTGTTGACATCTCTGAGTGGATATCATTCTTCTTGCCAAATTCTTCATGTTGCCACTTACAAAAACTCTCTAGCATTTTCTCTCCATGGTGCCCAATATACAGATCTGCCTGCAACAGAATGTATTTTACTTTCTGTAGGTCATTCTTAGACATACTAAGAAAGAAAAACTCAAGGCACTTCCTGAATTACTGGAGCAAACTACCAACCATAATAATAATTAGACCTGAAAACCTATTAGGATTAACTTAGTCTGAGCAAAAAAGAAAAAGAAAAAATGGCAATAGAACATTTAGAAAAATGTCAAACTTTTTATATTTCAGAAAATAACATTTGAAGTACCTGTTTAATGACATGGCAAAATGATAGCAAAGGATATTGTCTACTAGAAATAAAGTACAGGTAAACTAATATATCAATGTATAAGTAACACATACGGGGTTATATGCAAAGTATACAAACACATTTGCCAAAATATGATATATACAAAGTAGGATTCAAGAAATGTACGCATTATCCTGCCCATGCAATTGTAACCCCTCTGTACAGTATGTTCACAAATAAAATAAAATTTAAATTAAAAAAAAAAAACAAAGTAGGATTCAAATGCTGTAAATACTTAGAATAACTTATTCACAGTTCAACAAAATGGTACTTAAAGGTTGGTGGGTTTAAAAAAGGTATCGACAAATGAAGAGAGGAAGGGGGAGAATTTACTATAATATTCAATGTGTATCCTAAAAATATAAAAAAATTAAGGAAAGGGTTGATTAAGGAAAGGGAAGAGGGCAAATAAAACAAGTTATATGGGTGAAGATGCATTATATTCATAAACTGATCTGCTGAATGGTACAAGTATTTAAACGTAATAAAAATATAAAAATCTTTTAAAAATCATGTTCAATAGAATAAATATTATTTAAAATCATCTTTAAAAATTACATTTTGGAAAGCAAAGATTTATTGGCAAGATCCTTAGAAACAAAGAATATTTTATTGCTGTAAAATTGAGGTTTTAACTAAAGGCCAATTTTGCCGGGCGCCAGTGGCTCATGCCTGTAATCTTAGCTACTCAGGAGGCTGAGATCTGAGGATCG